CAAATCAGTTGTGTTCTTCGTGTTCCTTTTTTTTATCTGTACACACCCCCAGTGAGCGCAGGTACCTATTGAGTGTGAGTGCGAGTGCCGAGTGATTGGGATGACTGGGTGGATTGATACTCTGAGAGTATGCATATGGTTGTTCACTATGTTGTACTGCATTGGCATGCGCACTTGACATACAAGCATAGAGACACATTTTTTCTCATGTTGTACGGTATCACGTCATTCATGACTTCTCATACATATTGACATGTAGGCATATAGATGTACTTTTCCTCAAGCCATTTGATAATGAAACATTTACCTCTTGAAAAGTTTCGGAAGGAAAATCATGATTTTACAAACTTACTCATATTTTGGTATTTTTGGTAAAAGATTTGGGTTTTTACCTTTATACTTGAAAATCATGTCTATTTTCTGGAACTGTGAACGAGCTGAATATTTTATTTCTGAGTTATTTCCTGTACCACTTTTGTTATATTGTTATGAGTTGTTGTTGGACTTTGACCTGTGTTCCAACTCGTCACTACTTTCAACCTAAGGTTAGGTTTGTTACTTATTGAGTACATGGGGTCGGTTGTACTCGTACTACACTTCTGCACCTTGCGTACAGATTTTTGACATTGATGTTGCTGCGTACGACGGGTACTGGATCTGAAGATGTACTTGCGTTCTAGCCATTGCTGCCTCTTGTTCATGGTAGCTTTAGAATTTTTAATCTGTTCATGTATATTTTAGATAGATAAAGTATTTTTATTTCACACAAGTTTTGTAAATTCCAATTTTAAAAACTCATGATTTGTACTACCAGTCCTTGGGAAGTGTATTAGAGTTAGTTAAATATTAATTGAATCGAATTGTTGTTATTTGGCTTACCTAGCAGGTGAGGTTAGATGCCATCACGACTAGTTAGATTTTGGGTCGTGACAGTTCTGTAACATGGATGCATTTCTTAATATGTTCCTTCTTTTTGTTGTTGTGGGGAGGCAGTCACTATTGTATATTATCATGTGCATTCGAGAGAACACGAATGCTAATGAGAAAGAAAATGAAAAAAGGAAATTATTTATATGATCATAGCTTTGTTAACATGGACAAACATGTGGTAAAATGCAACATTTTTCATGGCTTCAAACATCATAATTCATGCTACTTAGACCGAGATTCTTATCCTTATTGAGATCGTTGTAGACTTGTAGTAATTAGAAATGTATGCGTGCAAAATACACAAAATCAAGCATATCTTTTAAATTTATATGCTCATCTTTTACTGACCTTTTTTTTATCACAAGTTGCACCTAACTAAGCTTAAAGAGCCCAATCCACCGACACTAGGTATCCCATCCAATTTCTCAAAAACCCCATAAAGAAATACACTTAGCATTAAGGAGAGCATATCTTCTAATTTCTAACCTGTTCCACTACCAATATTGCTCTTTTAATTTGCATATGGTTATAGAATCGTTGTGTCCAATGGAAGGCTAAATAACTAGAAAAAATTTATAATACACTAAAGGTCAGCTACAAAGCTTTTACAGGTCAATTATGCCAAAGTTGAACACGAAAAAAAGAAGGGTTGTTAACTAATGCAAAACACACAAAATCTCCAACCATTCTTAATTTTCGATTAAAAATGACAGTCTTGTTATAGCTTATTTTTTCACATAATAAGGTGAACACTATTAGAAGATACATGTAGCACGAGAAATCATCCATAATTTAATTATGAGAAAATAAAGTGAGAAAACTACCTATTATAGTCAAAAGTAGTGTGCTTTCCCCCTTTAGTAACTGACTTTCAAAAATAAGTACATGCATTTAAAATTATGCAACCATTAAATTCCAAGTAAATGGGTAAAAGATATTCGGTAATGTCATATATTAAAATATTAAAATTTATTATATTTTTAATTTATTAATAAGCAATTTGCATCACTACAAAAGTAAATAAAGGTGAAAAAAGAGTAACTACTTTGACAAACAAATTTGAGACCTCTATGCAATCACACAACATTGACTATGTTGTAGATATTAATCTGAGTGTTGGTATGATTGAACACATTATTATTACGATTAGTCCAGAGGTGCCATAGTATGATTGGGGGTAATGACACATTTTTCGTGAGGAGAGTGGGTGGTTTGTGTGGCGGAAGACATAATGCTCTTACCCAGTCTTGAAAGGGGTGTATAGGGAGCGGGATATTGAAATGTTGCCATATAGGTATAGCGATGTGGCAACGAAAAAATATATAGGTACTTGTCTGCACATTGTACGGGTAGTATCTATGGAGATATGGAGATTTTTTGATGATAGAGAAATGATAGTGTGGGTAGTTTCTGTTGTAGCATGAGCCATAAGAATTGCTTAATTTTGTTGGTGGAAAGAATCTTCCAAACCCAATAATACGGAGAATGAGATTGTTGTTGGTTAAGAGGAAGTGTTATTAATTTGTATGCAGTGGAAGTAGAAAAAGCCTATGTGGTGGAGGAATTCCAAAATGATTGGTCTATAGTATTGGGGTTAGGATTTAACATGGTAGTAGTGATAAAGTTGAAGAGGTGGGGTGGTAGGTCGAAGGAAAGTGGGGAGAGGTTCCAAGATTCATTAGTAATGATAGTGTTGAGAAAGAGGTTATCTTTATGGGGGAGTAGTGGTTCATGGATGTGCTGGCGTAAGGTGGTGTTTGTGGGTAGCCAGTAGTCTAACCATAGCTGGATATGATTTTCATTTGCTATATTCCAGCCTAGTCCCTGCTTGTAGAAAGGGTATTGCCTTAATCATGCCTTTTCAAATGTAGGAAGCACAATGTTTAGCTGTGGGAGTCAATGTGGTATTTGGCGGGTATACTGTGGAGTGATATTTAAGGCGGAGGGTATAAGCCCAAAGGGCATCATATTTTTGTAGTAACGCCAAAGTAGAGCAGTAAGTAATGCCATATTTTTTGGATATAATTTGGGTATTCCTAAGCCACCATATATTTTAAGCATAGTAATATTATCCCAGTTAATAAGGTGTAGTTGCGTTTGTCAGACGAAGAGCCCCATAGAAAATTTCTTTGAATAAGGTGGTAGGAGATTAAGCTGCATGGCATACACGGGGATATGATTTAGGACCGGATGGATGAGGGTTGTGCTACCAACCAAAGTTAAAAACTTATTTTTCCGGCCAGCGAGCCTTCGAGTTAATTGGCCGATGAGATATTAGTAGTCAGTGAAAGTAGGTTTAGTGTTGGTTATGGGTAGTCCAAGGTACTTGCCAAAGATAGAGGTGGAGTTGTTGTTAAGGAGCGATGAGATTGTATTCTGAGTGAAAGTTGGTACATTAGCGGAGAAAAAAATTTTAGATTTGAAAAAGTTAATGATTTGGCCAGTGTGTATATTAAGCTGGTTGAAGATGTTGATAATTGTATCCGCATTTGTTTCCAGTAGCTCTAGCAAACAAAACTCGGTCATCGGCAAAGAGTAAATGAGAAAGAGGGGGTGAGGATCGAGAGATTTTTATAGGTGTCCATCGTAGGATGTCAACAACTTGGTTAATTAGACGAGAGAGGGATTCCATACAGATGATAAAAATGTAAGGGCTTAACGAGTCTCCCTGTCTAATACCCCGTTTAGGTTGGAAGAATTGGGTAGGTTTCCCATTTATGAATATTGAAATAGAAGAGGTTGAGACACATGACATGATTAGTTTTATGATGTGCGGAGAAAAATTTATTTGTTGTAGTGAGTATGTTATAAACTACCATTCCAGTCGGTCGAAAGCTTTCTCAAGGTCAATTTTTAATAACATATTGCCAATTTTACCTTTTTGTCGTCTAAAAGAGTGCACAACTTCTTGAGCTATGATAGCACTATCAACCGCTCGTCTGCCCGGTATAAAACTATTTTGCGTTGGGCTAATAAGTTTTGATAAATACGGCCTAATAAGGTTAGTAATTATTTTTGTAATTGTTTTATAAATTGTATTATAGAGTCCGATGGGTAGATATTGAGAAATGTCTCTGAGTCTTGTACTTTTGGTATCAGTGTAAGGAATGTTTTATTTAGTTCATCGGGGATGGTAACAAAGCAAAAACAGTTGTACAGATTGTAACTACGAACTAGTTTTGTATCTTCCCAGAATTTTTGGAAGAAAAAAAGGACGTAGGCCATCCGGATCGGGTGCCTTGAATGGTTTAAATGATTTTATTTTATTGAAATCACTTGATTATGAAATATATAGATTGAGATATGTGACTGTTTCTTAAAACCATATGTTCAACCATTATCTTCCATATATTAACCTTCCCACATACCAATTTTTGCGAAGTTAAAGGTGTTTGAATTATTCTCCAATTTGTTATATTGCATTAGATATTTATTTATTGGTAATGAATAATTTATTAACAAAAAATATACATATAGCTGATGTTTGGAGTAACATTTTGCCACTATCCAAACAGTGTTTCACAATTAACTCGGGCATAGAAAATTCCCACGGTTAAGCACCGGTTTGATTCAGCCACCGGTTTAATACCACATTTCTGATTTCCCTGCCTTTTAATTTTGACGAGAAGCCTTACGTTCCTGCTTTCCCTCTCTTCTCTATTTCTCTCTATCTGCTCTGTTCTCTCCACGGGCAGCTTCGCCGACCGTCTGATTCCGATCAAAGAGAATGAGCGGTCACGATTCAAAGTACTTCTCCACTACGAAGAAAGGAGAAATCCCTGAGCTCAAAGAAGAACTCAATTCTCAGTACAAGGTCACAAAATACTCTCCTCTTCCTGTATTCATATCGAATCTACAAAAAAACTCAAATTTACGGAATTTATTAGCTTTGCATTGATTCGATTTAATGTAATTTATGATTTTACTTTGTCATTTGAATAGTGATTTAGGATAGCCGTGGTCAGATCTGGCTAGTTTTCGCATTTGATTTGTCGTAGTAGTCTCATTAGTCCTCGTTTGTTTTGTTGATCTCAATAATTTAAGATTTTTGATTTTCTGAATGTGAATTTATGCTTTTTCAAGGTTTTTATGTTTGGTTTGAGGTCCTATTGAAGTTTACTGCATTTCCAATGAGAGAGATGTTTATGAAATAGGGAAGTTACTGAGCTTTTTATCGAATAGAATAGTTATTGAAATTGGAGAATTATACTTAATTAGAATTCGTATTTAGTTATGCAATTTGATTTGTTGGAGGAGTCTCTAGACCCTTGTTTAATTGATCTTATTTGTGAATTATGTTTTATCACCTGTGTTTAGTTTTGAGGTTCTTTTTAATTACTCCATTTCCAGTGGGATGTTTATGAAATTGGGGAAGTTAGTGATGAATAGGTATTGCTTCTCATTCGTTAGGTATTGCTTCCTTTGTTTGGTTGATATCAATAAGTTAAGCGGTTTGATTTGGTTGAATATGTTATTTTATATTTAGTTTCAAGGTATTATTTCCTTAAAAAAAATATAGTTTCAAGATCTTATTGATAGTGCATTTTTGGTAGATGCTTGTGAAATCGTTATAGAATATAATAATTTTATGTCACATTCATCAGTAGTTTTGATTGAATGGAATAGTTCTTTTATTTAGAATCCAATTGAAATTACTACATATTTTTGTAGGATGCTTATGAAACTGGGGATGTAACTGAAATTGTTATAAAAAATCTACTATTTTTATCTGCTCGTTTGTTAGAATATTTGGTTGGAATTTGCATACATCTGAACTCAGTTGCATTATTGGCTCGATCCATGTGGGTTTGGTTGAAAGAATGTTTCCCGGTGATGAAATGCTTTTAGAAACTAGATGTCCGTTCATTTGGTGAAATGATACATCTTTACCTGTCCTTTTAAAACTGGTTGCTTCTGATAATCGTAGACATTTGTAGTTGAAAATTGTTGCTATACAATGAACTCAACATTTTCAGTCTTAATTTTTAGTCAACTGAATCGTGACGTTATTCAATTGTGGCTAAGTTTTTTGATGAAGATAACTTTTTTAATTTTTTATTATTTTTTATGAAGATCTAATTTTGGCTAAGTTGTGTTTCTGAGTCGTGAGGCTTTTTGTTGTAGCCTTGCCATTCCATTTTTTATTTAAATTTGGTAGGTGCTTATATATCTGTATCAAATGCAGGACAAGAGAAAAGATGCTGTCAAAAAGGTTATTGCTGCTATGACTGTTGGGAAAGATGTTTCTTCACTCTTCACAGATGTTGTTAACTGCATGCAAACAGAGAATTTGGAGTTAAAGAAGCTTGTATACTTATATCTTATCAATTATGCTAAAAGCCAGCCTGATCTTGCTATACTTGCCGTAAATACATTTGTGAAGGTATTTCCGTGACGAAACTCATCCTTAATCATTTGTCTTCTGTAAATGTTGTGGTTTTATTCTTCTCATTACCTGCTGATTTGTTCTTTATATGTCGATCTTCACCCATATGGCTACCAGTGTTTTAAAAGGCGTGGGCGTAAGGCGAGGCGTTTTACATATGCCTCAGCGGGGCGTAAGCCCCATATGTATTTATTTTTTAATATTTTATAAAATAATATAATGACAGTAAATATTTATAAACAGGTAAAATTGCATAAATATTGAAGAAAACTATATATGTGTGTGCTCCATCCCCACAAAAAACTAATTAAAACAATCTATTATACGTTACCTACAAGCACAAGTAATTTGAGTCAAAGAATTTTCTATATGGAGGAACAAAAAGGATGATTAACCTGCAATTTGAATTTTGAATTTGCTGCTATGAAGAAGAATGTAGTTCTCTTTGTATTTGTAAAAAAAAAAAATATTTGTTGCTTTTGGGAGATATTAGTAGACTAGAGGACAAGATAAAATATTGGGAAAACCATGAATTAGGGCTTAAATCAATAAAAAAGATCTTTACTTTTAAATTTAATACTTTTGAGTTCCTTTTTAAACCTTTTGAGTAATTACCAAACTGACTTTTGAGAATTTGGGTATTATATGAAGGACTAGTTCAACAAATTTTGTTTTAATTTGAAAAAGTTTCTGGGGCTTACTCCTTACTAAAAAATCGCGCCCTGAACGCCCGGACGTACGCCCCGAACGCTCGGGCGTACGCCCCAAATTGCGGGGCATACGCCTCTTGAGACTTTCGCCCCACACCATCGCCCTGGGGCTCGCCCCAGAAACGCCTTTTAAAACAGAGACGGCTGCTACAATAAAAGCGTTAGCATTCATCATTGATCTAGACTTCTCAACTAATCTGTCTCATTTACCTATGATTGAGAATAGGGAAGTATTGATAAAGCTTTATGTCTATCTTTTGAGTGGTGTAATGCAATGAGTCTCAAACGCTCATGATACTCCATTACCCGGTCTGCAATGAGAATTGAGATCGGAGGGGCTTTTCTATCTGATTTAATCCTTCTATATACCCTTCTTGCTTTTCCAGAGATCATAATGTTTTTCGCTCTTCAATTGAGTAGCTCCTCTTCTTTATCAGGAAAAGAATTTTAATTAGTTCCTCTTTGTTTGTTTGTTATATTGAGGTTAGTGATGCCTAGTAATTGGACATGGTACATTAACATAGAAATACACCCAAAGACATGAAAAATCTAAAAAAATCAGCGGGACATGGAACAAATAAGACTATTAAATTCTGTTGGCAGGTATTCAATGTATAAACCATAATCTACCGAGAAGAGATCTTGGACCTTGTGATGAGCCTTTTCCGAGATAAAGGTTTTTCTACGAGCTCCCAGATAATGAACCATCGTGAAATCGTGAAACTTACTTTGCTTGATAAGTAACGAACTCATGCCTTTCAATTTAAAGTAGGTTTGAAAATAAGGCCTTAAAAAAGGTAGGTTGAATAGGGAAGAATAGGTTATGTCTTATACTTTCTTTTCCTTTTTTTCTTTTGATAATAGTAGTGTTATACCAGTTTGCGCAAAGATCACTTAATCTACCTGGTATTTGCTACTTCCCAGCAAACACATCAGATAGCTCTGTCAAGCAAAGTAACATCAGATAGCTCTGTCAAGCAAAGTTTAGGCGGATCAAAGAATTCACCTGATGGCGTATTTGTGAAGATCACAACTTTGGTCCCAAAGTTGTCTCTCCAGCTCTTTCTCATCCTTGCTAGAAATACCTTGTTAATGCCTCCCTCTTTCCCAAAGAAAGCTTTTTCAAAGAGAGTAGGACAAATAGTGTCTTTTAACAGTTTGAATTTCAAGGAAGTTCTAAAAAGAAATAAGAACTTTTTTGGCTGTCCAACACGGTGTCCAGATGATGTCCAACCTGTCCAGTTTGAATTTGACTTGAGCATCGCTGGACGGTGGAGTGTGGCAGCACAACCTAGTGTCTGTGCTCCCTAGCGTATCAGAGGTTTAAAAATAATGTGTTTAGCTTAATTAACTTGTTTTGTTGAGTTGTATACTTGTATTTATCCCGTATGGATTTTGTAAGGGATTCCCAAGGGGTTTATAAAGGTTGTCAGCTACTTCATCCGTTGTCTTATGGTTTGAGTTGAATGTTCAAATTCTTTCACATGGTAAGACCCAACCTTTGGGAGGCTCGTCTTAGCACCTGTAGGTCTGAAATACAGTTCAGGTGTGAACATTCAGAATTGGATCACATGCAGGAGGGTGTTGAGTTATACTGTTGTCTCACGTGGGTTTTATAAGGGCTTCTACATGGCTTTATGAAGGTTGTTCACTATTCCATCCATTGCTTTAAGGTTTTTGATTTGGAGGCTCAGATTCTGTCACGTGTTCGCTCAACATTTATAGAACATACCGCATTTGCTTTGCATTTACATATTATATTTAAAAAATTTCCCATTTGTCATCTCCTTCTAGTGGATGGAGCATTGCATGGTAACAATTGGTTTCCAGAATCCGAATGCCACTTAATCATGCAGATGTTTCTTATTACTCATTTGAATTGGTTTCCTTGCTGCCCTAGCATGTTGTTTCTGATATCTTATTAATGGCGTCTTATGGTTTTTGCACTTTTTTCAGGATTCACAGGACCCAAATCCTTTAATTCGTGCTTTGGCTGTGCGGACTATGGGATGCATTCGTGTTGACAAGATCACCGAGTATTTGTGTGATCCCCTCCAACGTTGCCTTAAGGTGAATTTACAGATTTTCTCTTCCCCTGTCTGCTCCTAGTTTTGAAGCCGGATCTTTTTGATTGATTGACATTGGTCTGGAACATAACAGTGCACGGTGTTTTCTAACTAATCAATGCAATTTGTCTGTTCTCTTTCCATCAGGATGATGATCCTTATGTTCGTAAGACAGCAGCTATCTGTGTTGCTAAGCTCTATGACATAAATGCCGAGCTTGTGGAAGATAGGGGTTTTCTAGATGCTCTTAAGGACTTAATATCTGACAACAATCCTATGGTTGTTGCAAATGCTGTTGCGGCTCTTGCAGAAATTCAAGAAAGCAGTAGCAGACCCATCTTTGAGATCACCAGCCATACACTTTCAAAGCTTCTAACTGCTCTGAATGAATGCACTGAGTAAGCTTGTGGAAAACTAATGCTGCTACCTTTCTCAATGTGAAATGTGCTAGGGATTGGTGAATTACGTAAATTGTGAACACTGTTGTAAAAATTAGTCGGCATGTCACAGGACATTACATTCACTTCATGTTATTGTTTTGTTGTCTACTAGATGCAACTTTATGGATTGTCTTCTATTACGTCCACTTATTGCGCTTTTACATCTGTTTTGTATAGAACTTGTTTATGTTTGCTCCTTTGTTCTTGAATGAGATAATGATCTCTGGATATAGGTGGGGTCAAGTTTTTATACTGGATGCTCTTTCCAAGTACAAAGCAGCTGATGCTCGTGAGGCTGAAAATATAGTGGAGCGAGTCACTCCGCGATTACAGCATGCAAATTGCGCTGTTGTTCTTTCAGCTGTAAAGGTCGGATTGTTTCCTTCTTTCTCACAAACTTACTTTTTCTTAAATGCTTCAGCATGATTAGCATTGCCAATATAAGACATTCCGCTAATAGTCATTTTCCGCTGTTGCAGATGATACTCCAACAGATGGAACTAATCACCAGCACTGATGTAGTGCGGAACCTTTGTAAGAAGATGGCTCCTCCTCTTGTAACGTTGCTTTCAGCAGAGCCTGAAATTCAGTATGTTGCATTAAGGAACATAAACCTCATTGTACAAAAGCGTCCGACAATCCTTGCACATGAAATCAAGGTATTTTTCATGGTGTTCCCTCGGTACTTGCATTATTAGCGGCAAAAACTCTATTTCCTTAGAACTGTTGGACTTATCTGTAACTAAATCTGGAGTAGTAGGCTTTGCTTCTAATATTGTTCTGTTGCTAGGTATTCTTTTGCAAGTATAATGATCCTATATATGTTAAAATGGAGAAGTTAGAAATCATGATAAAGCTTGCTTCAGACAGAAACATAGACCAGGTAAATCCTTACTGCTTTGATTCAGTTTAGTTCCTCCAATGTAGGTTCCTTCTTATTTGTTTTGCATCATTCAAGTGGTTTATATGCTTGCAGGTGCTACTGGAATTCAAAGAATATGCTACTGAAGTGGATGTTGACTTTGTCAGAAAAGCTGTCCGTGCTATTGGGCGCTGTGCCATCAAATTAGAGAGGGCTGCTGAGCGCTGTATCAGCGTCTTGCTTGAATTGATTAAGATAAAAGTAAATTATGTTGTTCAAGAAGCTATTATAGTAATCAAGGATATTTTCAGAAGATATCCTAACACGTAAGTATCTTCGAAGTCTCACATGCTAAAGTTGAGTCTTTGTCTTTTATTTAACTTTCGACGTGTCTTCTTTTTCAGCTATGAGTCCATAATTGCTACTCTGTGTGAGAGTTTGGACACTCTGGATGAGCCAGAGGCAAAGGTAATAGAAGATCTTTCCAGAAGTTGGCTCTGGAAAGTTGTTGGGTCTACAATCTTTTCACAGATTTTGTAACTGCTTTGTCTCTTCGTTGACAGGCATCAATGATCTGGATTATCGGTGAGTATGCTGAAAGAATTGATAATGCAGATGAGCTCCTTGAAAGCTTTCTAGAGAGTTTCCCGGAGGAACCTCCCCAAGTGCAATTGCAGTTGCTGACAGCAACAGTCAAACTATTCCTCAAGAAGCCAACTGAAGGACCACAACAAATGATTCAGGTATTTCTTCTTGTCACGTCATCAAGTGATCTATTCTCTTGTTATATCATGCAATATGTTAAAATTTGCAGTCTTATCAATTTTAAAGATAGAAAAGAATCCAATCTAGTTTTCTAATCAATTAGTTCTCTAATTTTCTTAATTCCCTTCCTTATTAAGGCCAAGAAACTTCATAAATTATCCTCTTTATGCAGGAGTGTTTTATATGCTCCCTTGATATAGACCATGAATAAGAGTAATCAATTTACTAAATAGATGGACATATTGAGTTTTTCTGAATGTAAAGCAATGAGCGAAAAGGGTTATGCACCTTGAAGCAATGTTTTTAAAAGTGAAAAGCACAGAAAGGTGACAAGGTCCACGAGGCTTGAAATAATAAGCGAGAAGTGAAACCCAAAAGTTACGGAAAATTAAAAAATACCAAACATATATGAATTTTTTTAGCACTATAATAATCAAATTGCTATTTAAATAACTGATTTCAGCATTCAATATACATAATGTCAATGTTAATCCAGCCTCTCATAGCTGACATTCAAAGAATTGACCATTCTCTGCTTTCCCCAAAAAAAAAAGAATCGACCCTTCTCTTTAGGATCACTTTGTCTGTCGTTGTGTGAAGTGCACACTTCTCTGAAGCGCATGGCTTGACACATGATGCGATAGCCCCTTGCTTTGCCTCGCTTTATTGCTTCATGGCTTTCAATAACACTGCTTTGACGCTGATATTGATAGTCATGAAGTAATAATAGTTAGATTATTTTAATTCAAAAATTTGAGGGTGTGAAGAAAATGGATATTGGGCCTAACTTAACCCCCAAACCTAGCTCATGAGGATTGCCCAAGACCATATAAGGCATTCCTTAACCAATTTGGAATACTTAACAGTCCCTCTCCCTGCACGGCTAGGAGATGATGAGCAGTATAACATGTGGGCCCAACACTGGGTAAATCAAGAAAATAGATGAGTCTGAATATAGCTCATGAGGCGTTGTCGAAGACATGTAAGGAGTCAACAAATCATTTTGGACACTTAACGGAGGGGAAGTTCGTCGAATTATTAAAGTAGAAATTGAGATCAATGCAATTTAACCAGCATAGCGATTTTATTCGTTTCTTTTGTTAACTTCATGTTTAAATGTTACTTTTGTTTAGTCCAACTACAATTTGGAGTTAGACTGGTTTGTTTTTGCAGCAACCATGGTCATTTCTCTTACAGAATTGATGCTAACTGCTAAGTATCTATCTGTTTTATTTACTTATTTATTTGTAAAGTTGATTCAGTAGATATGACCTTGCTCATAGGTGGTCTTAAATAATGCCACTGTGGAGACTGACAACCCAGACTTGCGAGATCGTGCGTACATATATTGGCGTCTTCTCTCAACTGATCCTGAGGTACGTGCAAGCAAATGCTTAATTCAACTTTTGGCACTTCTGTTTGGGCTGTCCCAAGAACCTTTTTATGACTTCAGCTCAAAAAAGCTCTATCTTTCATGAGAAGAATAGACTTTCTGTCTTGGGGGCTATAGTTAATATAAGGATTAATAACTTTTTCCCCTTGGCTGCTACTTTCTTTGCTCCTAGTTATGTAAGTTTCAATTTGAAAAAATGAGTATGTGCGTAGTTCTATGATTAAGTTAATCTATGGATATCTAGTTATAACAGACTCCTTTCCGTATTGCAGGCAGCAAAAGATGTTGTGCTAGCTGAAAAGCCTGTGATTAGTGATGATTCAAACCAACTCGATCCTTCTCTCCTCGACGAACTTCTTTCCAATATTGCTACTTTATCCTCTGTCTATCATAAGCCTCCAGAAGCTTTTGTTACTCGTGTGAAGACCACTCAGAGAACTGAGGAGGAGGAGTATACTGATGCAGGTGAACAGGGCCTTTCTGATTCTCCTGCTCGTGTTGCAGAAAGTGGTGCCTCGCCTCCAGCTACTGCAGCTCATGCTCAGCATCCTGCAGCAAGACAACCAGCTGCACCTGCAGCTCCTGCAGCCCTGCCTGATTTACTTGACCTTGGTATGGATAACAGCAATAGTGCTATTGTGTCGGTTGATCAGCCTGCAACCCCTGCCGGGTATGTACAGTTCGTTTGCGTTAGTACTATAAAGACTGTCTTTGCGATGTCTTATAAGGTCACAAGCATAATGATTGAAGGCGGCCATTTCTCTCAATTATGAATCTGAAGTTATCTATGTTAAAGGAGTTCGCACATCTTTTTTGTTAAATTTGCTCACCTTTTTGTTTGACCATTATGTTTCAAACTATTTGAGATCACGTTCATGCAAGCACTTATGGAGTGTTGACTTTTATTGCAGCCCTCCTTTACCTGTTATAGTGCCAGCGTCTACTGGTCAAGGTTTACAAATCAGTGCCCAGCTGATACGGAGAGATGGCCAGGTATTTTACAGCATGATGTTCGAGAACAATACCCAGATTCCTCTTGATGGCTTCATGATTCAGTTCAATAAGAATACATTTGGTCTTGCTGCCGGTGGACCTCTCCAAGTGAGTATCATGTTGCCACTTGTCTGTAGTCTTTTCACATAGTATTTATGTTACTATCCAGTGATTGATGATCCTTCTGTGAATTCTACTTCTCTTTGGTTGTTCTCATTGCTGTCTTGTGCTCAATAGGTTCCTCAATTGCTACCTGGGACATCTGCAAGCACCCTCTTGCCAATGGTTCTATTCCAGAACATTTCACCTGGCCCTCCAAGTACCCTTTTACAGGTTGCAGTAAAAAATAATCAACAACCAGTATGGTATTTCAATGATAAAATCTATTTCCACGTACTTTTCACCGAGGATGGGAGGATGGAGCGCTCCACTTTTCTTGAGGTAACAATACCTTGTTGAATTCCTATCTAGATTTATGCATTGGTCACTGTTTGGATTGAGGCATATACTGATTGTTGATTGATATATGTATTACTACCATCTACTCAAGTTAATGGGACATAACATCTGTGAGCCTCGGCTTTGTTTTTCTCTCCTCAGAGGAATTATTTATCATCTCTCGCAGCTTCTGTCAATTAAAGGCTAGCTGCATTTAATCTGCATTCTTTAGAGTTCCACTTCCAACAAATGACTCAACTCCTTTCAACTCCACTCCTTTATAGATTTGTTTCGCTGCCTCTTTTCTTTATTCTCCATATTTTACTCTATCTGCTTTCCTTCATTGTATTTCCTATTGTTGTGACAACCACCTAACCAAGTTGGATGCTTAACACTCGGTACCTCTGCTTCTTTGCCAGACTTGGAAGTCACTACCTGATTCAAATGAAGTATCAAAGGACTTCCCCGCAGCTGTTATAAATAGTGTTGAAGCAACCCTTGATCAACTAGCGGTATCAAACATGTTCTTTATCGCTAAGCGCAAACATGCTAACCAGGAGGTGTTGTATCTTTCTGCCAAGATTCCTCGAGGAATTCCTTTCTTGATTGAGTTAACAGCAGTTATTGGAACCCCTGGTGTCAAGTGTGCCGTCAAGACGCCAAGCCCAGAAATGGCTCCTCTCTTCTTTGAAGCCGTCGAGACTTTGCTAAAGAGTTGATATCTTGCTTGTCCTCTCCCTTCTATTTATTTCCCTTGTGATTTTGTTTTGGTTCTCTTCTATTCGGATACGTCTTATTTTGTTGTGATTAATTAGCTTGAGTTTCCAGCTTGAACTGTTAATTCATGCTCCTATGTTCAGCTCTTGTTATTATAAGGGTTTTTATTGCACGAATCTTCAATCTTCTCAGCTGTATGGAATGTATTTTAGAATTTTTTTTGTAGCCTCTTTATATTTGATGACATTCAGATTGGATTTCACAAATTTGTCATTTATCCGTGAACCATAACCAAGATTATTCGTAAACCATTAAGAGCTGAACCATTGTTTTGCTCCAATTACTAGAAGGTTTATTTTTGGAACTAATACTCGTAAACCATATGGATCCTCGAACCAAAGAGTCGTGGATCCGCTTTTGTCACTGGAAACAACTGCAGATGCAGAGTATAAGACGGTTTAATTTTTGTCAATATCTTAGAATTGTCCCTAATTATTTGGAGCTTGTAAATTTACTATTAACTGCCAGTTCAATTTATCTTCAGAAATGTTGCCTGATAAACGTTGGCAGCAGGTTTGGCTTGTCTCCGTCAAATTCAAACTCCTATCACACCTTGAGCTCCTACGTCGAGACTGCCGACACGTTGAATTCAACTATTTGCCAAGGGTCGCTTCGCCTTAATTCCTCACAAGTATTTGTCTCTTAAATTTTTGTGCCGAGATTATATCAGAAACTACCTCTCTATTTCACTAGGGTAAGGGTTAGGGCCGGCTCTAATGTGTTGAGTAGTAAGACTTGTGCATTAGGCCTCCAAATTTTGGGCCCCCCATTTTTTAAAAGGTTTATAGGTATTTAAAAAATAATATTTAGTACTTTTAATACAAAAGTAGAGTTTTTAATATAAAAGAAAAGAAAACTCTTTAGATACATAAATAAAATAATAATTTGACTTACTTAAACATGGGTAGATGAATAGTTTTCCCAGCATTTCAATTTTTCACTTCTTACTCCTTCATTAAATAACGTGTAAAAAATTTTATTCTCCCTTTCTTAATTTGTCCAAGTCAATCTTTATTTTCCCGATCTCTTCATATTTCAGAAACCTCTACATATTTTTTGTCTTTCTCTTTAATATTCTTACTCACTTTCTTTCTCCAAGAAATTTAAGCTTCTAATAGTTCTATACTTCTATTGCTCTATAAAATCTTATCTAAAATTAACAATATCTCAAGAAAAATTAAATAAGTTGGCTATTATCAATTGAAAATGAATTATTAGGGAAAATCAACTATAAAAAGGATTATTAACACTTTGCATCTCAAAAAGTTAGAAAAATAGACTTTAAATAAAAAATATATCGTATAACTTTCTTTTAAAAATTTAGACCTCATATTAAATTTTGGCTTTAGGCCCCGCATATAATTGAGCCGGCCCTAATAGGGGTTAAGTCTGCGCACACACTACCCTCCCCAAACCCTACTTGTGGGATTATACTGAGTTGTTGTTTGTTTGTTTTGGGTGAAATAATGAAATTAAATACATTCAGAATTGAAAAAATGATAGTGAAAGTTGATATTTTAGCTGTATCATCTTTTGCTATAGAGCATACACGAATATGAGAAACATAATACTTCACCATAGTATTTGAGACAAATTTTCTTGGTTTTTAAACATCTTAGTAATGTAATAGTTTTCAATTCGATTCCACCAATTTAGTGTTTAAATCTCACTTAGATTACTATTTATGAATCCATAAATATCTGCTCCTTTTTTCCCATTATTTCGTGGGTCTAATTTTAAAAAAACCTGCTACTAAATCGTTTTCAATATTTTTAGGGTATTAAAAGGTCATAATATTTCTTAATATTATATTTCTTTTTTAAAAATTTGAAGTTTGGCTGAGCAATCAACTGGCGCCATGTTATAGTATGTTGGTTTGGTTTTTTAATTCATTACATTACGATAATCCAAGTGTCTCTTCTTCAACTGCTTTTGGGACCATTTGTATGTTATAACTGTACCAATATCTACTTATTTTACAACTCAAAAAGTAAATGGGGCAAATATTTAATGTATATTTTTAACGTTGCCAATCATTCATTCAAAGTTTTTCCCTCTCAAGTTACACTTTTGAAATGAGGAGTACAGCAAAAGCCAATTGAAATTTCCCTCTTCACACGAATTGAAGTGTATTTGAAGTTTTGAACAAATAGAAACTTGAAAAGAGACAGCAAAAATTCTTTAGTATATTATACTCCTCCTTTCCAACTTACATATATTTATTTTTTAGTTTGTTCCAAAAAGAATAATCACTCTTCTATCAATTTAAGAATAAATTAACTTAAAATTCTCATTTTATTTTTAATAACAAGTTTTTATAGCTACACAAATTATATAGTATATTTAAGATCACATATTTCAAAAGTCTTATCGCCACGTAAATACTATGGCATATTTAAAATAATTAATATCAAAAGTCTTTATTTATTTTGTAAATTTCGTAGTATTAAATATTGTGAACTGTATATACCTCTTGGGCCCAAAAAAAAACCTTTACATCCCTCTTTGCCTAGCACTAATTACTTTTCAAGTTCAAATATAAAAATTCTTACAAAATGGACAAAAGAGTTAATGAAATGCCAGACTTACCTGGAAAAAGCTTTCCACATTTTGACTTGGTATATTATAACTCCTTTTATTTTAGTCTATAAATTGGCTTGTGCGTATGTGTATTTGTGTTATTTATTTATTTATTTATTCATCTGGTCATATATGCTGTCAGGAAACTGAACTTAAAGAAGGTGAAATCTTCGAACCTACGCAGGATTATTGTAGACCTGAGATCGATTCTACTCACCTCAGTCTGCTTAATCAGAGATTCAGACCTCATCGCATCGGATTTGCATAGTGTAATTTATATTTCATGTGTAGTTTGCAGGTTATTCCACAGTGAGTAGGTTATCCAATACGTATTCGAAAAATAGTAGTAGCGGGTGTTTCCCGGAGAATTTTTCATAAAAAAATAAATATTAAATATCGAACACATAATGTAACATTATGTAACTGGGCTTGTCTAGTACGATTTACTAGATTTGTTGTTGTTGTATAATGTAACATATAATAGATTTAAGGGTGAAATTCAAAAATAGCCAAATTTACAAGTGTTAATTGAAAAATAGTCATAGTTTCAAAAGTAATCGAAAAATAGTCACTTTTCATGTAAAGATAAATCTGAACCAAAATACTATTCAAAATCCGAAAAATATTCCAGCATAATATACTCGAGTTCGAATTTTTTACATGTGAACTTCCAGCATAATATACTGGAGTTCTAGTATAATATATTGGGTTTCTAGCATAATATACTGGTCCATCATAATATGTTGGGAGTTCATACACAGTTACAATCTCCAGCATATTATGCTGAAATTTTTCGTGTGCTGGAGTTCCAGCATAATATGCTGGAAGTTCATACACATGTGCACCAATCTCTAGTATATTACGCTGGAACTTTTCATTTTGCAGCAAAATAATGGCTATTTTTAATGACCTTGCAAACGCTGACTATTTTTTAATTATCAGTTCGAAAACTTTCTAGCACATATTATTTTCACTAGATTTAATGATAGGAAGTGAAAGTTGAATCTATCAAATCTAAAATTTCGATTCTATTCCAACATAATATATGCACGATTATCACCTCAGTATCCATTAAAAATAATTCATTTTTGGTTTAAATGTAAAACAATAAGCTAAATTATCTGGGATTGTGAAACCAAAAAAGTACTTTAAGCAGTAATTCACTTACAATATAGCTCCAATAAGACGTGTGCAAATTTTAAATAAATTATTTAAAAAAAGCTCTTATATTATTTAAAAGGGAATAAATAGTTTGTAAGCTTTGTAAGTCAAACATCATACATTATTTACAGAAAAACACAAATAAGTGTACAAAAGTAAAATCACAAAAATGATACGAATCACTCCCCATATTACGACTAACGACAGAAAAAAGTAATTGCAGAGCATGTGGGAGTGGTCCCTACATTTTTACTCACCTGGGTCCCACTTCTATAGAGAGTGACGTGGGTCCATAGGGACCCCACTGGAGTGCGGTATGTTCTTTCAAAAATCTTTTAATTTTATTTTCGAGAAACTTGTGCGCTCCAGCTGCCTCGTAAAACGAGCGGATTCCAAATCTATATTCAAATTTACTTAATAAATTCTCCAAAAATACACAATTCAAATTCTCTCTCACACACTTGCACAGAGTACAAACAGTTGTGAATTAAGGTACAAGCGATATATACTTTTGCCCTTTGTCAGGATAAGATCCGACAGCTGTATGTTTACTGACACGTGTACGTTAAACTCGTCCCTCAATTATTTTCCCCCTCTTTTGGTTTTCAGTTTATCTTCAACCGGCTCAGCTCGGCTTATGAGCATGGATCTTATTTACCTTTATACCCTTAATAATAGCAAATTATTAGGGGCTAAACGGCCAAAAGAGATAATCTGAGGGCTGATCTTGTTCGTTGATGTAGTTGCCGGAGATGTACCAGACAAAGTAGAACCAAAGCTTAAAATTTGACAAAATGCAAAATTTATCGTCAGTCCAAATTAATTGTATTCGCTAACTATAAACTATATATAACCTATATATATTATATACATATAATCATAGACGAATTCATAATTTGAAATTTATAAATTTTTACAATAACTTCGAGTTATATATGCAATAATAACTTGATTCTCAATCAATTATTTATAGATATTTAGTAAATTTCTTAATACAAATACAAGATTTAAGCAAAAATTACTGATTTTACGGGAACCCATAACCTTAAAGCTGAATTCGTCCGTGCATATAATATTGATATATTTTTTGAGAAACTGAGCTTGTTTAAAGTATAATTTTCATTTAAATGTATTTGGTTTTTACTGTGCTCTCGTACTATTTTGGCTTATTTTAGTTTGTTTTCTTCAACTAAATTTAAGAGCCCGTTTGGATTGACTTAAAAATGACTTTTTAGTAAAAATAGTTTTTAAACCAAAAAGCAATAAGTTGAGGTTGTCCATCATATTGTTTTTGATTTGTTTTAAGCAGTTTTTAACTTATTTTAATTACTTTTTAACTTTATTAAACATTAAAAAAACTAAAAAGAGCTTAAAAGCTGATCTGACCAGCTTAAAAACTAATCCAAACATCCTCTAAATCAACAAACTATTAAATTATTTTCCCA